GTTGCGATGCGCGATGATCAACCACAGGAGGCTCAAAGACCACTTACCTCTTTCTCCGATGAGTGGCTGAGTATGTCACAGCCGCCACAAACAGAGCCGCGAGAACTCCGGTGACGCCACGGAGCAGATGACTATTTTGGAGAGCAGATGCCCTCTGTATCTCCACTCCCGTTAGAAAAGACCAGGGATTTTTTAAGTCGCCCAATTATTAAGAGGCTGTTCTGGCTGCTCCTGGTTCCCTGGGAAGTTTCCCATCCAGCCGCTAGTGAATATTAATTATGGAAATGAAAAATGTACATTTAACCCAAGAAAGTGCTCACTCTAGAGAAAATCTCACAGGGAAAATTGTTGAAAGCCGATTTACTAAATGACCTCTTCGCCAAATGACCCATTTGCCTAATGGCCACTTTGCCAAATGACCAATTTGCTAAAAGCCAGTTCTCTGGAAATCAGTGCGAGGATGGATGTCCTGCTTATCAGCAACTGATGGTGGAACACCTGACCCCAGGCTCCTGATGGGTGGTGGCCAGGGACGGGCAAAATAGTTGTACCAAAACTTTCAAGCTTAAGAAGAAAAAAAATCCTCGGTAATTTGGTGGATCGGTCCTTTAATTAGTTTTCAGCAAAACGCGAGCTGCTTCCTGTCTGTTCACAAGACGATTGTGGGCACTGGCTTAGCAGAAGGGAAAGGATGTAGTATACCTTACTTAATCCTTTGTAAGTGCAATAAACACTCGCTAAATCACTGGACAGTATCTAAGCCTCTCCTGGCAGAAGAAGCGGTGGCCAGTGTTTGTAAACAATCTACTCAGCAAGGATGACACCCAACCTCAGAGATGAGTTTATTCCTGCTTTTTATCACCCGGATTTAGGGTTCTGAAGTCTTAAGAATTAGCAATCTCATTTCAGACTTCCCCGGTCTTGTTTTCAGCAATGAGTGGGATTATAAGGCTTTGTTCCTCTCCTCTGAGCAGCTGTCCGTGTTTCTGAAGGCAGGCTGATTCTCTGTGTCTATCCGGGGCATCCTGGGGGCAGACTGCACACGATTTCCCGGGGATCACAAGGATTATAGCCTGACTTTCTTTCTGGAGTGCCTTCCTTTTGGGTAAAAGGCGCTATGGCTTCCCAGGTCCCAACACCCTCAATGTAGAGCTGTTGCTCTTTTGCTCCGAGGGCTCCAAAGCAGCTGGGAGACAGGATTGTTCAGCTTGAATTTTTTTTTTTTTTGCACCCCAGAAGATCCCTTTTTGATTCTTTTCCATCTCAGGACAGAGCAGGCTGTGCTGACAGTTTTTTGGCAGTTGCTTTTGCATCACACCTGGTTGTGACAGTCCACGAGCATTCCCCGGGTGACCTCCAGAGAGCCCCCGTGGGGTTCGGGGCCAGCTCCTAGGAGCTTGCACGTCAGTGCGTAGATGAGACTGCTGTCAAGAGGCTCAGCCAGGTGATTCTTCTTGAAATCTGGCCCAGAAGCTCTGAATACGGTATTCGTGTCCATGAGGACATTATCAAAGCTGTGATCGCCTTTGTTGAAATATAGTATAATTTGCTGAAAAACAATAATAATAAAAAAGCCATTTCTGATTCCAATCCCCTGAAAGAAAACTGTCCCTTAGTTAATGGCACGCTTGTTGGATTTATGAAATCTTTGAGAACTTAAACTACAAGGACACTGCTACCTGCAGTGGCAGAGAGAATACCAAGGCATTAAAAGCCTTTAAGAAAGAGAATGAAGAAAGCATGCCCATTGGAAACAATAAGAAAATAATAATAACATTGACAAGAATGCTAAGCTCAAACATACAGCGCTTACTATGTACCATGTATTGTCTTGAATGCTTTACAAATATACGTTAACTCCTTTTATCCACACAGCAGCCTAGCAAGGGTGTTATTATCATCATCTCTACGATCAGCTGGGGAAACCGAGGCACAGAGATTAAGGAACCTGCACTGAGTCATTGGTAGCAAGCGCTATTATATATGTATATATATATTTTTTGGGGGTGGAGGTGATTAGGAAGGGGGTCAGGATTCTAGGTAATTGTCTATTAATAAACGCCAAGTAGCATTTGTATCTGTCTCCGTTTTCAAATGAGGGAGTGACATCAGTTATGACACTGTTTATATGTTTTCAGGCCAACACGTATATTGTAGCGTGTAAGAAATGTGGTGCTGTGTGCACTGCAAAGCTGGTCTGATATTTGTGGCCTGGTGGACACGGAAAATGCCTGTCTGCTCAGCTCGGGCTGAAGAAACTGACCCAACCACCTTTGAGGCCATGGGGTGGCCCGTCACGGACAAACGCCCTAGTCACGACCTCACAGGCACTTCAGTCCCTGAGAAGAGTGAGCTCCACTGGATGGACCCTGCACTGCAGGGCGGGCGGGTGGACGGGACCTGCAAAGTGTATAAGACCCAAAGGATTTTCTGCCTAATAGTGGGTTCAGCAGAAGATTAAACTGATCACAGCATCCTACTCCCTCAAACTGTCCGGCTGGGCAATTGAGAATGTGCGTGTCCCGTTAAGTGCCCTCAAGGCACTCCCCAAACTGTGCAGGTACAAACAGCATGAACCAGGTGTGCAGACAGGCCGCTGACTGTGGAACTTCTCCTTGGCAAGGCCTTCGCTGTGGGCACGCGACTGAATCACAGTGTTCTGGGCCACTTGAGGGATAAAATATTAACATCTCTTAGGTGATAAATTGTTGCATTTTACTGTGAATGTCTCCACCAACATGAAACAATAACCCCATGAGTTTTCCGTTATACCTGTTATACTCTGGAGTTGCAACAAGCTGAGAGTAAACAAGTTGCAAACATAATTATCACATTTGGTTCCCGTTCACAGCAAGAGTTCTTCAAGCTCCACCTGGGGAGGTCTTCTGCCATGTGATATTTACAACATCCTCTAAACTTTGTTTCTGCCATGAATCACTGGTTGGCAGTCAACAAAAACCACACCACCTAATTTATCGCTCCCAATTAGCATTGATTTTAGTGTTTTCTTCTTTAAGCTTGTTTTTTTTTTTATATATAACAGCTTTATTGAGATATAATTTACACACTGTTCACACATGTAAAGTATACAGTTCAATGATGCTTAGTGCATTCACAAAGTCGTGCAACCATCACCACAGTCAGTTTCAGAACATTTTCATTGCCCCCAAAAGAAACCCTGTACCCATCAGCAGTCTCAACCTCATTTCCCCTGACTTACTGCCCCCTCCCCCCTCGCCTGGCAACCCCTAGTCTGCTTTCTGCCTGTAAATGGAATCATACAATATGTGGCCTTTTGTGTCTGGCTTCTTTCACTGAGCATAATGTTTTCACGGATAATCCACGTTGCAGTGTGAATCAGTACCTCATTCCTTCTTTTTGGCTGTGTGATGTTCCTAATAGGGATGGACCATATTTGTTTATCCATCCATCTGTTGATGGACATTCGGGTTGTTCTACCGTTTGGCTATTATGAACGATGCTGCTATGAGCGTTTGTGTATAAGTTTTCATGTGAGCAAGACTTTCATGTTTTTTTTAAATGAGGAAATGAGAACCAGCGGGGTGGCTTTCTTGGTGAATGATCTGCGAATCTCTGTGTGGTGACTGAGCACGCAGGCTTGGGGTCAAACCTCAACCTTACATTTTAAATCTCAAGTCACTTCTCTCTAGGCTTTGATTTTTTTCTTCATTGAAATGGGGGAGCTAAGAGCATTTAATTAATTAATTAATTAATTACTTATTTGTTTGAGAGGCAGAGTCTCGCTCTGTTGCCCAGGCTAGAGTGAGTGCTGTGGCGTCCAGCCCTAGCTCACGCAACCTCAAACTCCTGGCTCAAGCGATCCTCCTGCTCCGGCCCTCCCGAGTAGCTGGGACTGTAGGCATGCACCACCATGCTGGCTAATTTTTTTCTCTATATGTTAGTTGGCCAATTAATTTCTTTTTATTTTTAGTAGAGATGGGTCTCACTCTTGCCTCAGGCCTGGTCTCGGAATCCTGACCATTGTGAGATCCTCTCTCGCCAGTCGGCGTCCTCCAGAGTCTAGGGTTAAGGTGTGAGCCCCCGTGCGCAGCACACGCATTTAATTTAGGGTTGTCCTGGGAGCACAACAATGAAGTGCCTGTTAAGCCTTTGCTTAGTGCATGCTGGCCAGTTTCATTGATGAATAATGATTTTGATCAGATCGTCCGATGATCGATCAATTTGGGCAGTGTTGGTTCTGGGTGGCACGTGGGGGGGGCACAAGGGGTGGGACACTTAGGAACCAGTGGTTGCAACGCATAGGTGTGCTGACCTTTTAATGTTTTATTTTTTTCAGAACTTCTTTTCTCCTACCGCGGCTCGTTGTCTCCAAGATCCAATGATGGACTTTCATTTATTTTAGAATCAAGTTACCCCCATTGTGTATTGTGCCATTGGCATACCATCATGATTGGCAGACACCCTCAGTGTTAGCAAAGTGAAAGTGTTCTGGAAACTCCTTCTTCTTCCTATAGACGTTGAGGCTAGGTTCTTCAGCGTCCGAAGAAGGGCTTCCTCTTGCCTGCTTGGCGGAGGAGCATCCACACGCCCCGTAAGTCCATGACAATCAACTTGACCACCCCTGAACTTGATGTATGTAGTTTGTCAAGGGGATCTCGTTGACACTGGGATTCTTTTTTTTTTTTGCAGACAGACGCTCAACTTTGTTGCCCAGCGCTAAGTGAGTGCTGCGTGCGCGTCTCAGCCTACGCGTCACCCAACAACCTCAAACTCCTGGGCTCAAGCTCTCTGCCCACCTCCCCAACGTACGCTGGGACTACAGGGCTGCTCCACCCATGGCCCCGCGCTAATTTTTCTATATAGCCTACTTAGCTTGGCCAATTAAATTTCTTCTACTTATAGTAGAGACGGGGTCCCGTCCTCTTCTCAGGCTTGTCTTCGACTCCTGACTTGAGCAGTCCACCCGCGCGTCCCGAAGTGCTAGGATCACAGGCGTGAGCCACTGCGCCTGGCCACACTGGGATTCTTTTTCACCATGGTCATGCGGTGGTCTGAGATGGCGATGACATGGAGATGCTCCGTCAAGCTGTGCCTCTCCATGGCTTTCCACCAAGTACCCGATTTGCTGAGTTCATCTTTCTGTTCTCTGTCTCGGCCTGAATCGGTGTCCCACGTTGTCTGGCTCTTCCTCGGTGAACCAGGTCATGACGACGGCGATGTTATCCCCCCACTCTGTCTCGCTGCCATTTGGGTGAGTGTGGGACTCCCAGGGGACCACTGGACAGCTTCCCTTTTGCATTTAGCACCTCCCTGGGGTACTGGAAAGATGCCGCTTTCCTCCCCTGCAGATGCAAGAAGAACATTCCATCAGGGCCGCTTCTCATCTTTCTCACGGTAAGCACTGCCCGGCTTGTCCACGTCCCTGCCCCAGGCCAGGGGCGTAGGAGATCCATGGGCTTTGGAGTCAGAAGGGTCGGACTAGACTCCTGCCTTCATCAGGACCCCACAGGATCTAAAGCGACATTAGTCGCGAGATGCACCGTCATTTTTCGCACTGCTGAGGAGGGAAGTGCGGTTGGAACCGTGACGCGCCAGTGCTTGTGAGATGTCGTCCAACTTCAGAGACGGCAAAACGAAACAACCAGTTTCCTTAGGATAAAGGGAAACGGTACTTTCCAAGTCGGTAGTGGTGAGTTTTTTTTTTTTTTTTTTTTTTATAAATCTCTTAGTGATTCAGTGTTTCTACCCATAAAATGCCAAAAAGTCGATGGGATCTTTGTAAAGATTAAACCAGGCAGTTTCGCAACACAGTGTTGGGCAGCACATTTTGGTGTGTAGTAAGGCAGGATTTTCTATGCCTCCAGGTAGGACGAAGCCGGCACAAACTTTCCCTGGTGTGCGTGGGCATGATCAGCATGCTTGCCTGCCCCGCCCCGCACCCTCGCCCTGGGCAGCCGGGCAGGGCACTCTGGCTTCCCCAGGAGCCCTGGTCCGTGCCTGGTTCCTGTCCTTGCCCTGAGTCTGCGCCTGGTTTGGGATGTGTTGACTCCACCTCGGGATCCAGAGTGGGGTGTGGCTCTGGTCTGGCCGGTCAGAGGACACAATGTCCCATGGGCACAGCAACTGGCTCAGTTTTGGGCCCAACCAGAGCCAATGAGGTGTGGCCTTGGGACTTCTGCGGGGGGCAGTTAGGGAGGGGAGAGGCCGTCCTGCTCATCCCCATGTCTGCTGCTGAGGGGCCCAAGAAAGTCCCTTGTAAAATTTGAGTGTATTTGACAACTCATTCTCTGTGCAGACCATCTGGTCAGCTACTGGGCTTGAAGAACTTACCCAGAGCAGAACAATATAGTGGTTAAAAGTGTGCTCTGATGTGGCCACCTGGTTATATCTTTTCTCCACCACTTGGAAGCATGGTATATAAATGCCTCAGTTTCCTCATCTGTAGAACAGGGATGATAACACCTACCTCACGGAGTGGTTGTGAAGACTACATGCTTGTGGGCACCTTAGTAAGTGTTCCGCAAGCTTAGCTTTTATTTTTCCCATGCAGGGAGAAAGAGCATGGGGTGAGGTGGTATGGTCAGGTACAGAGGGGACAAGGATTATTTCCTCTGGTTTCTGTCTCCTGTGAGGTACTGAAGGTGGATCTGGAACATGCCTGCAGACCCCAGGTGAGGCAGACGGCCCTAGTCCCGGCGGAAACAGCTGTGGCATGGGACACTGGGTTCCTTCCGTCAGAGGAATGGGGAGAGTTGCTGACAGCTGTGAAATGTGGTTGAGTCTTGCAAGGGACCAGCAGGCCTACGGGGGATGCTTGGGACTAAGATCCTTGTAGGTGTGGCCAGGTGACCTTCGCACCTCTATATGCAGGCCCCAGACAGCAAGATATGGCAGCATATTACAGCAAACAAGAGAAGGGTCACCGCCACCCCACGGGCTGCCATAGGAGGAGGTGACATCTCTTCCCTCTCTTTCTTTCCCAAGGGGGTTGACCAGGGAAGAAGGGGTTGGCATGCACAAAAGAACAGACCACAGACCACATGTCTTCTGCTCCAGGTTTCTGGGACTTCTGATAACATCTCATTTCAGGACGTGCGTGCGGGGGTACCAGGCCTGCAGCAGCGAGGTCTCCTCGCCCCGCCAGTAGAGGGCGCACTCTTGCGAGCGGCTTTTGTAGCCCGTTGCTTCCTGGGTGCTTTAGCACCGGTCGGTCGGTTTGCGGGAGTTTGCTTTGCAGGATGTAGTGTAAAGACCTCCGTCCTCACTTCCTCCCTTCTCCTTGGGCTGGAGCTCAGGGAGCTGGAGGCGGCGCTGGTGCTAGAGAGCGACCTGGCTTGGTGGCTGCTGCGAACCCGATTCAGTCCGAGGTGCTCATACCGAGCGCTTTGCAAGGCCTCACAGCTCTGCTGCCCACAGGTAGGTGAGACGCCGTCTCCCTGGCACCGCAAGTCACTTCCTGTCATGTGACTTGGTTTTCTTTTCTCTAAAGCACTTCCTCCAATCCAAGATGGTCTGAATTTGTTCGCTTGGTTACTATTTCTTTCCCCTGGAAGGTGAGTCCCAGGAAGTGTGCCTGCCTGCCTGGCTGAGCACCTGTGCCCAGGACCGAGCGCAGGCCTGGCTCAGAGCGGGTGCCCGCCGCCGCTCGGATGCGTGTTGCATGAACGCGTGAATCTCACCTCCTTTTGTAGGTGAAAGGTGAGAACTTATTCTGTTCTCACTCCTGACTAACTTAACCGAAGTCATTACAATTCGTTCTCTTTGGGGTTCCAGCGTTTTCTCTGCGACCCCTACAGGCAACACATTTTCCTTTCTGATAATAGAATTTCTATGGCTGCTTTAACCTGTAAATCCTCTCGTACTTATTTATCGAATTTCTGATTGGCATTAGACACAATCCTCAGTTCTTGGCGACAACACTTCGCCTAACTTGCAATATAAATTGACTTTGCCCCGAAATATGGGATGGGCCAGAAGGATGAAACTTCTAACGCTTTGGAGAAGTGGCTATTTTATTAGTTAGCGTAAGCCGATGTTGACATTACGAGAGACTTAAGCAGTTCAGAATAACCATCAAGTTCCCGATTGTTTGCATGTTAGATCGCAGGTGTTCCCAATTTGAAACTGTTTTCTTATGCTGTGTTCTCAACACACACAACTTCTTCAAAGACGTCCCAAGCTGCGGTCTTGGGAAATTATGATTTTTCTTATTTGGTTTCAGAAGCTTATGCTGCTCCTTCAAATGAACTCCAGAGAGAAACGCACACACGCACACACTTGACTCTGTTTATTTAGGGCCCGTGATAATCAAAAGTGCTATTTTCAACAAATACTTCTGAGAAATAATCTGAGCACTTAATTGGATGCAAAAGAGCGGGTATTTACTATTCTACCCTTTAATTAGCATAATCAGTGTTTCCAGCAGCAGTAGCAATTGGAAAATCGCCGGGTTTATTAGGTTCATTATTCTCCCTTAGTGTAGTGTTGCATCCGTGTGGCTATTACTCCTAAGTTGCTTCTTTAACACAAGGGTTGGTACTTCCTACAGGCAAGTCCTGACTCTCGTGTTGTGTGCGGAGCCCACCAAACTCTTCGGAACCAATAATTGGAGGAAAAGTTTCACTTTGGCTTTGCGTTTTGTCTGGGCCCTTCCTTTGGGCGAGAGAATTTAAATGTGCACATGTTTGGGTGGGGTCATGAACAGGCCATCACGGCTGTGCTTTGGTGGGAAGCTTGCGTGGTTAGGGGAAAGGAGTTAGCGACTTGTTCTGGGGAGAGGTCTGGTGGAAAGAGATGGACTCCATGCTTCTGAAATTCAGAAGTCAAGGTTGGCCCTGGGTATTGTCCTTGCTTTTCTGGCTGAACAGAAGGAAAGTTAGCTGGCCAGGATTCTGTGTTCTCTCCCCCCACCACCCTTTTGGAGGTTAGATGGTTATTCTTCGAGCTTTTATAATGCATCGTAAAGACACAGTGTGGGCCAATATTAGGATGAGTTATCTTGCTGTTAAGGTTCTTTTAGGCAGCAGTTGCTGGACTTGTCTAGCTCACAACTCTCCAAAGTCTGGAAGCTATTAATATTTTCTAGGAGACACAGCTTGCACCTGACAGCCATCCTGCCCTTCCCACCCACTCACCAAATTCTCTCCCTGTGGTCCTAACACAGGGTCCTCTTGCAGATCCTTGTCAGCCACAAGGACCTCACACAGACCGTCCCTCTGTCATTTCACCCTCTGATACTCTCTGCAGCTCTCCAGGGAGAGGTGAGACCTGCCCTCTAGTTCGTGCGGTTTGCCTCGGTCTTGCAGTCCTGCCTGCCTGCCTTCCTCCGAGAAGTCAGGAACCTCTGGACTTGGTGAGGCACCTCAGTCACTGATCACGCTGAATTACTGGGGACACTCACTTAAAATCCAAGGCAGCTCCACGTGGACCCTCTCTCTTTATAGCCTGACCATTCACGAAAGTCCTGCTGGAGTGTGGGGACACTCGTGGGCTGTGAACAAGGGACGCAACTGCTGCTGGGGAACCTATCTTTGCAGCATTGTCCATGAAGGCATGTCACTTCTTGAATGTCTTGATGGCTTCTAGTAGCGCTGGTGTCATTGAAGGAAAACGTTTCGGCCAGATGGAAGGCTAATGCAGCCATCTCCACCCAGGCAGCCTGTGAGAGACTGGGGACAAGGGTGGGCTTTCCCAGTGACAGACGGGGGCCGGGCTGCCTCCTCCAGCCCTGCCCAGCAGTGCAGACGCGCCCCTAGAAGACATGGGGACACCAGCTGGGACACTGCTCCGGGGGGCTGACCCAGGCTGCAGAGGTTTCCTGCAGGCTCCTTGGAGAGCTGGCTGAGGGCCTGGCCCTGGGCAGGAGCTGCCAATGGCAGAGGGAGACACAACCATTCGATGCCCACCTGCCAGACAAGTGGTGGAGCATCGGTCGCCTGGCTCCGTGCCAGGTCCTCTTTTTGCACACCCGCTTACGAGCTTAGCCAGGAGGGAAAACACTCGGATTATGAATTGAGCAGAAGGAAACAAAGTCCTGCAAATAAACAGCCATGAGACAAAAAACCACGAATAAGAAAAGTGACAGGCCAAGAGAATCCTAC